GGGGCTCTCCTTGACTCTGTACACTGTGGTCTGAGGCGGAGGCTGCAGTGCAAATGGGACTACAGCAATTAGACTTTAAAAGCAAAAGGCGGTCACTGCACCCATACACCCTGGGTGGGTGTGTAATTTTAAAATCTCATTGGCTCTTGACTGAAAATGGGGCTCTCCTTGACTCTGTACACTGTGGTCTGAGGCGGAGGCTGCAGTGCAAATGGGACTACAGCAATTAGACTTTAAAAGCAAAAGGCGGTCACTGCACCCATACACCCTGGGTGGGTGTGTAATTTTAAAATCTCATTGGCTCTTGACTGAAAATATATGTAATTTGTGAACATCAGGTGACCTAATAGAACTAGACGTTATAAATTGAACACACTAATCTTGTGTGTAGTATCTGTAGTTAAAGTGACACTAAACTCGGGTTAAATCCTTAAAATGCTTTAACTATTTGGAAAACTGTACCTTATTTGTGCATCACTCGGCAGTAGATGTTCATATCATCTCTGAATTCATGTTGACACTGTTTTTACTTCTGGAGGGAGTTCCCCATGGTCCCTGTATGTGTTGTAAAGTATCCACGACTCCAAGCTCACTCCCCATGATGGACTACAGTCTCACATTTAATTTAGTAATTTGCGTTGAGATTATAGTCCATCATGTGAGCAAGCTTGGCGCGAAGGACCATGGGAAACACACACAGGGACCATAGGAAACAAATGTAGCCACACTCCAGAAGCTTCCTTCTGCACAGTGTCAGCACAAATTCAGAGATGATTTGATGATCTACAGCTGAGTGATGCACAAATTAGGTACAGTTTTGTTAATAGTTAAGTTTCAGGAACTGCAGTTCCTGTGCTCGCCTGCAGGTGTCTCCAGGCAGCCAGGAACTGTCGGGTACCAGACCACCACTGGGTGGTGCTGGAACCTGCGACTCCGGTGCTCACCTGCGGGTGTCTCCCAGCTGCCAGCCCTTCCTGAGTTTCACGTCCTGTTACCTGCTTGCAGCCCTGTTGCCATTACCTGCTTGTAGTCCTATTGCTGTTACCTGTATTAAGCTATTTGCTACTGTTATGTGTTGTAGGTGTTGGTGGTTATATTTAATGGGTGTCACGTTACTTATTCATGTTTGCTTTTGGTTGTTTTATTTGGATGTGCTGTTTACAATAAACTGTATATAAACACATCTGCCTTGTCCAGTGTGGTCATACTAATTTGGTCCTCCTGCGTGGGTATACCTGCATGCAGTGCTGACATTAAGGTACTTGAATGCATTTTTAGGATTTCACACCTGAGTTTAGTGCCATTTTAACTGTAGACACCTTAAGCATAATGTGTGCATATTGTTTGTATGCAGTGAGATCTCATAAAATGACTGCAGAAATATTTGTTTTTTCAACTACACCAACACTTTTGTTTAATCACCTTGTCTTTGCAAATTGTCATTGACAGTTGTATTTACTAGAATGATTGCCGATACAAATAGAGATAGTGCAGTGACTCAATGGACAGTACACAAATAGTAGCAGACATTGAATCTTTAAACCATGCCTTCTGACTTTCACATTTAAGTATTTTCAGGTTGTTATGATTAGGGCACCATATCTTAAACCTTGCCAAATAGTTTGCTGAATTGCTGTGGGATTAGAACACTCCACAATTAAATATGGATCTGAGAACCTCTGAATGCATTTTTGTTTATTCTAATTTGCAATATTGTATTGTAGGGCCCATTACAAGCAGGACCTAGATGGAGTAAAGAGCTCTCATCTTGGAGATTGTGAGGGTGAGTAGAACTTTTTTGACTGGTTGCTATGTTTAAATTGGCATACCTTTATGTTAATATTAGAGCTTTAAAAGGCTTTTTCTCTTCAGGTTTGATCACAAAGTCTTTTATGGAGGATCAAGGCATCGAAGTATCTGTCAATATGTTGGTCGTTTCTACACTGTCAGCTTTTGTAGTAGGTGCAGTATTGTCAGGGTTGGGTGTGTGCTTGTTAAGCACTTGGCAAAACACAAACTTTCAACACAGACAGAAGGATAAGGACACCACCCTCGTATTGCAGCATCCAGTCAATAGTGTAAGCAGGGGCAATGATATAAGCCGTCCAGTGCAGATCACTCTTCCCTACTCTTTGACGCAAAATGGTTGGAGCCCTGGAAACAGCAATGAACACATTGGAATTCCACCTACTCCAGAACAGACTCCTCAGCAGCACAAGAGAATTATTAATTTCCAAGACTATATAAATCACTCTCTGCATGATCCATCTTTCAGCGCAATATACCCAAAGGTCCATCACCTAGCATCCTCTAATTTAGCAACTGATAGGCTTTATGACTCACAAGTTGCACAATGTCAGCAGACCCATGGAGAGGATTTTCACTATTCTATGCTGCATAGAGGGGAATCTCACTACCTACCCTTAAAGGAGGATGATCCACAGTATATATTGCAACACGGAGAAAAATTATGGAATTTTCACCATTACAGCAATGACTCCTATTGCATCCCCCACCATGGAAAGGATTCCTGTAGTTTACCAATACAGTTAGAAGAGAATAAATATGTGTTGCAACATAGGAGCAACACCAAACGCATGCACGAGCATTCATCACAGTGTTGGGAGAAATTTCACCAACAGTTGTCACAAGGGCATGACTCCCAGTACTTTCTTGCAGATTTGCCCTTTCTTTGGTCTTCAAGTGAACACAGATGTGTGGTGTCTGCTTCTACATCTGACATTTTTTGTAAGCAGTTTTTCCCAGACAGTCCTCTGCATTGGGATACCCACTTAAAGAGAAATCTGACATTTAATGGAGGGGATATGAGCTCCACGTTTCCTAACACAACATACATGTACTCAAAGCCCCCTCATAGCATGACTACTGCCTCAGATTTCAAGTTAATGTTGGAGTATGGAATGCCACACACATCCATGGACCCATAAAATGGACATATCATGTATTGAGGGCACAAGGTGATGTAACAAAGTATAGGGCTTGGGGTTTAGAACAGTGATTGCTATTTCTTTTCCATTTGAAAAGATTTGAATAAGTATAGAATACCTATTCATTGAATGGGAGTTTTCTTTTCTCTCATTAGCCAAGCACAATATGTACAGATCAATCCTTTAATTAATATCTTTGTTAATTAAAAATGTGTATTAGTTTAAGCTCACATTATTATGCATGATGTTTGATCTAGAAATTAAAGCCATGTATTTATAGGAAGTAAAGAGAGGGCAGCTGGTTATTTACATTTCCAACCCCTATAAATACAAAAACTGCTTGAGAAAGGTGGGACTGTTTTTGGTGTAGTGGAAATGTATTCAACAAGTTTACTTTAGATTGTCCTGGATTACAATTTAATTTACACCCAGATACCCTTATGTATTTTTATCATCAATTCAGAATAAATGCAATATTGAAAAAAAATAAAACCTTGGTCATGCATTCTATATATTGCTCATAAAAGTATTTGTTTAGTTTTTTCTAGAGCAGCCTTTCTTAACAAGGGTGCCTTGACATTTTCACACAATGGAAATCCCTCTGATGAATGCTGCTGATGTGAAAGAGGGGGACTCTGATGTGAAGGGGGGAATCCCACTTTTTGTGTGTTTTTGCTTGAGGGTCTCCCATCTAAACCAAACCCATATCTCATATAAAGGTTTGATATGGATTTTGGAGGGACCACATGCTGTTTTTTTACATTCACGATTTTTACATTTTAGAATAGGGTGCCTCAAGAATGCGCTTACTTGTAAAGGGTGCCGTGACTGATAAAAGGTTGAGAAATGCTGTTCTAGAGTATGTTCTATAGGGTTTGACTGTCTGTTTCTCTCATGACAGATTTCTTTTAAAGTATTTGGAGATACCTCTAAAGAAGTTGCCACTACCCTAAATGTGTAAATGGTAAAATGCTGTCTGTCATTTCTTGCTTTAAAGAAGAACTCCTGCCATTTTAAAAATGAAAACTGCCTTTTAAAAATTTTAAAAATGGGGGGGCGTGGCCAGCATGTGATCCTGAGCAGACATGTGCCAGAGCAGCTCCGCATAACATCCTGCTACTATCCTGGTGCTGATTTTTTTAAACCTACCTGGGTTCAGGTGAGCCGGAACACCTCCTGACTTGGATCGGCTCCTCAGAACTGGGTTATATGAGGCGTAATAAGAGCAGAACGACTCGTTCCTCGGGAGGCAGGCCTCGTGGTGTCTCGGAGGCGGCCATCTTGGCTGTGCTGGCCGAGTGCAGCAAGATGTCGGTGAGCATGCAGACGAGCAGCGCGGAAGATCCGTCTCCCTCCCCAACTAGTGCTGACATCCTGGCGGCCATCACGTCCTGTAAAGAGGCGCTCACTAACAAAATCGACTCCCTCTCAGCTGATGTGAGTTTTCTGCGCCATGATCTGGACAAATTCCGAACGCGCATGGGAGAGGCGGAGGCCCGGATTTTACAGGTGGAGGAGATCACGCGGGCGGACTCGACTGAGGTACAACGGCTACAACGGCAGCTTCAGGGCCTACAGGAAAAGGCAGTGGATACTGAAAACCGGCTACGACGCAACAACATCCGCGTGCTGGGCCTCCCGGAACGCGCGGAGAGAAAAACACCGGCCGAATTCGCTGAAACCTTCCTGGGTAAGCTGCTTGACCACCGTGACCTACCACCGACCTTTGTGGTGGAGAGAGCGCACCGAGTTCCGCCCGTCCCGCCAAAACCGGGGGCCCCGGCCCGACCGTTCCTGATTCGCCTGTTAAATTACAGGGATAGAGACCGGGTTCTGGCTGCAGCTAGAGGTCATCCTACATTACTCTATGAAAATGCCCGTGTCTCCTTGTATCCTGATTACTCGGCTGAAATACAGCAACGGCGCAGATCCTATACAGAAGTTCGTAAGAGGCTCCGGGAGAAAGGTTTGCAATATGGCCTCCTATATCCCAGTCGCCTGCGGGTGAGTGATGGCGCCACCACCCGCTTTTTTGACACCCCTGCGGCGGCTGCAGCTTGGCTGGACAACACTTGAAGGTCGCCTGACCCGGAGATGGCATCTTCCTGGTAAGGCTACTTCGATCGTTTCAAGTTGTTTTTGCCCCACTTGGTTTAATCAGCACCCTAGTACTGGGAGCAGGAGCAGTCCTGGACTTCAATTGGGATGTTTTTTTTCGCTACAGGTGGATGGCTCACATGCTAAGACTACAGATGCTTTTATATGACATTGCTAGTGGGAACGGAGAAGATATGTGGGGCTTGAGAAGGTGGCCTCGGCTACATATTTGTTTTTTTCCTCATGAGTGTGCGGAGTGTGGAGGAGATTAAAATCCTCTCCTGGAACATCAGGGGTCTCAACTCCAAATTCAAGCGGGCACTGATGTTCAAGTATGTTAAACAACACAATCCACACATCCTACTTTTGCAAGAGACCCACCTAGTGGGGAATAGGTTGCTGGCCTTGAGACGCCCATGGGTACAGCGGTCGGTTCATGCTTCGCACTCTGCATATTAGAGAGGAGTTTCAGTTTTGCTCCACAAGTCTTTGCCATGCACTATTGAGGAGATTCACACTGATCCTAATGGGAAATTTGTTATTTTGGTATTGACCATGTGGATGCAGAGATATATTATTGTCAATGTCTACCTACCTCCGCCGTATAACTCTACGGTATTATACGCATTGTTAGATAAGATTTCTTCTCAAGGTCCGGCGAAATTATTGTTTATGGGGGATTTTAATTCAACGCTCGCCCCGGGTTTGGATAGATCTGGCTCTGTGGGATCCGGCCTCTACGACTTGGGTGATTGGGCGTCAACTGCGGGTCTCACTGAGTTGTGGAGATGGAGGAACCCCACAACAAGGGCCTACTCTTGCTTCTCCGCATCTTACAAGACCGCATCTCGCATAGATCTAGCGTTTGCCAGTGGCGCTCTTTTGCCTGACATCGGAGAGGTTGGGTACCTGCCGGGGGGAGTATCGGATCATTGTCCCATGTGGTTGACCCTCAGAACTAGTCAGAAAAGGGATACAGCCCTTTGGCGCCTGGCCCCACACTGGATCTCCCATCCTATGACTCTGGAGGCTATTCCTCCCTCTGTTGTGCAGTATTGGGAGCTGAACGCCTCCACCGCGGGGCCTGGGGTTGTGTGGGATGCATTCAAGGCATGTATGAGAGGAGACTACATGTCCCTCCAGAAGGCAATTAAAAAGGTGGATTCAGCACGCACGGATGAACTACACGCTAAGGAAGCGGACTGCCTCTCTAGTTATGGGCTGGCCCTCACTCCTGATAATTTTGATGCTCTTATGTCAGCAAGACGCATGCTCAGCCTGCACCTTGCGGACCTAACGTGCACGGACCTATATAACCGCAAACAATTTTTTTTTGAAAATGGGGAATGGGCGTCTGCTGGCAATGCTATCCCAGGCGGCCCGGCCTCAAGCGGTGGTGGCTGAGATTCGCCCTGACCCGGACACATCTATTACATCCCCAGATGCCATCCTTGAGGTATTCAGGCAGTATTACACCACCCTTTACTCATCCACGCTGCCGGTGGGGGCCGAGTCTCCGGACTTGCGCGCTCTCAGTAGCTCTGGGATGGTTGACAGATGGGCAGAGAAACTTCCTGACGAGCCTATAACTGAAGCTGAGGTATTCGCAGCCATACGTTCATTCCCTAACGGGAAAACACCAGGCCCAGATGGTATACCTATGGAATTTTACAAAACACATGCAGACCTCCTGGTCCCTAGATTATGTGAGATGTATGCTTCGTGTTTGGAGGCAGACTGTTTACCGACCTCTATGACTGGAGCCCATGTGATCTTAATTCACAAGCCACCTAGAGACCCGACTGACTGTGCCTCCTACAGGCCCATTGCTCTGCTAAACTGTGATTTCAAAATTTTGACCAAACTCCTTAGTGTGCGACTTAACCAACTGATGGATAGCCTGATTGACTCGGACCAAACAGGCTTTATGCCCCGAAGGTCCACTGACGTTAATTTGCATAGACTGTTTCCCTTGATATAGAAAAGGCCTTTGATACAGTGGAATGGACATACTTGTGGGCCACACTAAACAAAATGGGATTCCCTTTAGAATTCACTCGATGGATTAAACTATTGTATAGTGGTCCTATGGCTTCTATAAAACTTGGGACTAAGTTGTCAGCTCCCTTCCCTATCTGCAGGGGAACTAGGCAGTGGTGTCCGTTGTCGCCCACTCTCTTCGCCTTGGCCATGAAACCCATAGCCGAAGCTCTGAGGACATCCCCTCATATTAAGGGTCTCAGAGTTGGCTGGTTGGAGGAGAGGGTGGCGCTGTATGCGGACGACATGCTTTTGTTCCTTAATGACCCGGGACCCTTGTTACAAGGAGCCTTAGATGTCCTCACTGCATTCTCGAAGGTGTCGGGTCTCAGGGTCAACTGGCACAAGTCAATACTGTTCCCAATTGATGCGGAGGCCAGGTCAGTACCCAGAACGGTCCTGCAACTCTCCTGGGTGGACTCGTTTAGGTACCTGGGGGTGGTGATATCCAGCTCAACTCAGGATTTTATCAAACTCAACATACTCCCGATCCTGGGTGATATGTGGCAGAGACTGAAGGCGTGGCAAACTTACCTTTGTCCCTCCTGGGGAGGATTAACCTAGTTAAAATGAAGATACTGCCTAAATTCACATACATATTTTGTAACTCCCCGGTATGAATAACTAAACCCTATTTTCATCAAATTAATCAAATTGTATCCTCCTTCCTGTGGGGGACTCAGCCCCCGAGGTATAAACTCACAACACTCATGTGCCCCACTACCCAGGGAGGCTTGGCACTCCCGGACTTCCATAAATACTTCCTGGCTACCCAACTGGTCACAGCCAAATGGTGGCTCTCGGCTGATGTAAACAATTCCTCGGTCATGTTGGAGGCGGCCATCTTGAAATCATTGGAGGCACTGAC